AACTCCTAGTCCTGCAAAAAATAAACAACAACCTAAAGAGAGTGAAAGGGAAAATCAAAGACCACGTAGTGTTTGATTCCATTTATGTAAAATGCAACATCAGTTAAATATTTGATAAAAGTTAGAAGAGGGGCTGGAGTTGTAGCTCAGTGATAGAATGCTTGCCTGGCATGTGTGAGGCACTGGGTTAATCCTCAGCACCATGTAAAAATAAATAAAGGTATTGTGTCCATGTACAACTAAAAATATATTTTAAAAAAAAAAGTGTTTAGGGTGTATTTTGTTTACTTCTGCGGGCATATAAATGGTCCAAAGGGAAACTTCTAAGGTTGAACATATTCTATATCATGAATGGGGAAGTGTTTTCCTAAGTATTTGTGTACATTTTACACCTAGGATTCGTACAATTTAACAGATGTGTCTTATATCTCAATAGAAAATAATGTAGATGTATTCATATTTCAGATCTGGCCACTGAAAATACTTCACAGTAATTACCAATTTGGTATCATTGTGCATACTTAGCATCCAGATTATGGTTTTAAAATATTGTTTTCCACAGAAAGAAACCAGAGCTTCTTGAAGAAATGGTGATTCTAGGTTGGAGGCTTATGTATGAGATGTTAGGACACCAAGTAAACTGAAAGTATTGTGTCAGAGTACTCAGGATTCAAATCAAAGAAATTCCCACTGGCCAAAATGGTCATTTTGATAAAAAATAAAATATTTAAATTTCTTTTACTACCCAGGGGCACTTTGCTACTGAACTACGTCCCCAGTTCCTCATTCCCCACTTTTTAATTTTGAGATGGGGGTCTTGCTGAATTTCCCAAGCTATCCTCCAGCTTGAGATCCTCCTGCTTCAGCCTCACAAATTGCTAGGATTACAGGTGTGCTCTATTGCATCCAATTGATATTATTTCTCTTATTGAGGTTCTCCAGCTAATAAATACAAAAAGAATGAACAGAATGTCACCTTTTTAATGTCCTCAGAGAGTAAATAAATCTACGCGTTGAGCTTCAATGCTTCCTGTCATTAAAGGAGAAATAACCAAACATGTCCCTCCTGATGAAAAGTATGTCATTTATAAAGAAGTCTTTTTCAAACATATAAGTCAAATCTGAAACTCATCAGTATTATCCAATTATCAATTTACAGGAAATCCAAAGGCCAGAGGAATGTTATGCCACAAGAGTACAGGGTACAATCAGTAAAATCCAGACTCTCAGAAACTACAATACTAATGATCTTGTTTCTTTATCAAAAGCACAAACTCACTCTTGTAACTAATAAGCAATTATAGCAAAGTTATAGGACACAAAATTATGCACAAGTATATACTTTCCTATATTACCAATAGTAGATTACTGGAATTTAAAATTTCAAAGTTATTTATATGACCATCCAGAGTGAAATACCTAAGTACAACTGTTAGCAAAATTTTATAAGATCTATGAGGAAAACCACAAAACTCTAATAAATCAATGATACCAGTAAAAATAAATTCAACCAATGAAATCAAATGGAGAGGTATTACATTTTCATGGATAGGAAGATTCAATATTGTTAAAATGTTAATTTTTCTCAAGATGGTCTATAGATTCACCACAGTCCCAGTCAAAATACTACCAAGTTATTTTGTAAATACTGACAGACTGATTCCAAAGTTAATGTGGAAAAGGAAAAGACCCAGAAAAGCCACTGCAATACTGAAAGAAAGCAAAGGAAGCTTTACTTAAAGCTAATTGACTTTAAGACTTGGTAGTAGCTACAGTAAATCAAGGAGTGGCATTGTTACAAGAATAGACAAATGGATCATTGATACAGAATAGAGAGTAAAAAATGAGTCACAAAATTTATCCAACTTATCTTTGACAAAGGAGCAAAATGAATTCAATGGAGAAATGTTTTTTTAACAAATGGTGTTAGAACAATTGGGCATCTATATGCAAAAAAAAAAAAAAAAAAAAGAGAGAGAGAGAGAAAAAGAAAAGAAAAACTCCATGTAGACAAACCTTGTACCTTTCATAAAATCCAACTCAAAATGTTGTGGGTTATCTAAAAGTAAAGTAAAACTGCTAGAAGAAAACATAGGACATAGTCTAAGTGACCTTGGATTTGGCAGTGAGCTTTTAGATACAACATCAAAAACTCAGCTCATGAAAGAAAATATAAGTTGAACTTTGTTAACATTAAAAGCCTCTTAGGCTGGGTCGAGTGGCACATACTTGTAATCCCAGCAACTCGGGAGGCTGAGGCTAGTTTGAGGCCAGCCTTAGGAACTTATTGAGGTTTTAAGCAACTGAGACCCTGTCTCAAAAAGTAAATAAGAAAAAGGGCTGGGGTTCTGGCTTAGTTGAAAGCACCTCTGGGTTGAATCCCTATTGCCTAAACAACAAACCAAAACCTCTCATACAAAGACATTGTCAAGAGAATGAAAGGGTAAACCACAGACAGGAAGAAAATATTTACCAAACCTATTTAATTAAGAACTGGTGTCCAGCATATATAAAGAATTCTTAAAATTTGTAGTAAGAGAACAACCCAATTTTTTAAATGGGCAAAATATCTAAATAGATGTCTGACCAAAGAAGATATAAAGATGGGCTGGGGTTGTGGCCCAGAGGTAGAGTGCTTGCCTGGCATGCATGAGACACTGGGTTCGATCCTCAGCGCCACATAAAAGTAAAATAAAGATATTGTGTCCACCTATAACTAAAAAATAAATATCAAAAAAGTTATATTAATTAAAATAGGACTTTACTAATGCAAAGATAAGCTTGTGGAACAGAATATGAAGCCCATGGGTGCTATGGCAATGCTTGCCTCGTGAAGACATGATTATTACATTTGAGTAGGAAGCAATTTCCATGAAAAAGGTGTTTTAGAGGGGCCAGAATTGTTTCCTATTCCTTTAGCTGTTTATATTACTAGTATCCCTGGCTTTGTAATTCAGAGCATTACATTTGTTCATCAAAATATGAGTCTGGAATTGGCTTAGTCTGCATTTTGGCATTTTGAGTTTCATCATGCCTATTTGTATAAATTCAGTTGCTTTCAGCTTAAAGGTATACGTGGGGGGGGGGCGATAATATAAATACTTCAGGCAATGTACATTTTCATTCAGTAACCATAACACCAAGTAGTAAACATGAGATGAGAAATATGAATTTCTGTTCCACTTCTTAGTTCCTGTGTGTCTCCAGGCTCACTTAATGAAAACTATTTTATTGGGTCATCACATTTGAAGAAATAGCATCTAGCCCAATCCTGGGGTTAAAATAAAATAAAATCCTGGGGGTTAAACTTTCCAAAATCATGGATTTGGACCCTGTAGCCAGCCAAACCACTTGAGTTCAAATCCTAGCTCCACCCTGTCTTGTGTGGCTTGGTCAGATAATTTAATCTCTTTGGGCTCAGTGTCCTTGTCTGTAAAATGAAGATTATAGTAATATACACCTTGTAACATTTTGTCAAGTAATGACTAAGATAACTATGGATGGCACATAATGCAAAAACAATTTTAACTATTATTATTACCAAAAATTGGTAGTCCTCCAAGGTGGTACAATTTTAATTAATTTCTAGGGAAACTCGGCCAACTCCTTTTCCACTTTCATCTTATTCTTTAGAATCCAACCTGTCATGAAATGTGGTTTTACTGTACCTGACTAGTATCTATGTCTGGTGGTTAGTTTTTTAGGGGATTGACAGTTGTGGCTGCTTGTGGAATGGTCATATGACATGGAAGATGGCTTTTGAGGGTAGGAGAGCCTGTGGACTGGACAGGATATATTCCCATAGAGTCAATGAATGATTGTAGATACCTGGAATACATTTAATATAAATATTTAAGTACACGTATTTTAGTCACCAGCATTTTCTTCTGTACAGAAATCCACTAATCTTTCGAGGTTAATACAGCCCTTTTTATGCCTCTGTCTCTTACTTTTTGCTAAAGCCTTTATTGTAGAATGACATCTGTGCAGTCTCTAGTCCCATGTGCTGCTTGTGGGTGCATCTTGTAGCAAACAGTGCTTTGGCATTTCAGGGTTTTGCTATCCATCCCTGAGTCCATAAACTTTTTAATTCACCACTGATTTTTCCTTTGAAAAATATTTAGGAACCTTATAGTTGGCCTTTTGCCATCTCATCTCTCTCCCCCTTCCACACACATGGCATAGACTCTTACTTACCTTTCACGACTACCAAAATCGAGGCACAGAATTGGCCCCACTGTGTTTCCAGCAGGCACTTGGTGGCACCTCAGTGCATATACTATTTGTCCACTCAGCAGCTCCTCTCTACTGCCAGAATGTAGGACCTCACTCAGGCCCCTGCACACTGGCAGTTACTGCTTCCTCTAAGAGGCTTTACAGAAGTCAGCCTGGTTTTTGTTTGCTTCTCTTTTTTCCCCCTTCCCTGTGGCTTCTTGACTTTTGCTCAGGAAAACTGGTCACTTACAGACTGTTTGAACTAATGAGCTCCATCTTTCTGCCAAATGATGAACAAATACATCAAACCAAATGGGTTTTATCATTTAGCTTTTGGGAGCCATGTTATTTGAGGCTCAAACATCTGAGCCTGTTTGGTGCACCTACCACCTAAAGAGGGGTTTGTGCTGTGTGTCAGGGACATTAGAATTAGAAGGATTTAGTTATCACCAGGTTCGCTTCCTGGGAAATGAGCAAGCTGGCTTTTGAATAGAACTAGTTAGGGTCTACTTTCTCATGTTCATTTCTGAGAACAAGGGAAATAAACGTTTAATGAATTCTGTTTTAAGAGAATTTGTATAGGTGTCTGAAGCAGCTTATGAGCATGTAATCATTTAATATTTCACAGTAGGGATGTAAAATTGTTGTGTACTTGTGTGTTTCAAATTGAAGAATCTTGAAAAATGTACATATCCAGAAAATGCATTAAATTTTATTTTTCACAGTATAATTATCCTACAATGTTAACACTATCTCATTTTGTGTTTTTTTTCTTTTTTTTCCAGAATATTTTCCTTCTTGGACATAGTAACTTTGTGCCGATGTGCACAGATTTCCAAGGTAGAGTGTTCACTAGATTTTTAATCAATAAATATCAGGTTTTATTAGTCTAAAGATGAATTTTAGTTCAAATAAACCATTAAATTAAAATTTATCTCATATTTAATATAATCATAATTTAATATTTGTTTTATTAACTTGATACATTGAAAATTAAAGTTTGGAAATAGAAAGTTTGCGTCAAGACCCTCTTTAATTTATTTCTCAGTAAATGAATCTTTCACCCCCATCCCTCTTCTTTTACTACCTACCTCCCAGGCTTGGAACATCTTAGCCCTGGATGGAAGCAACTGGCAAAGAATAGATCTTTTTAACTTTCAAACAGATGTAGAGGTAAGTTAGTTAACTTTGGTTTAGACAGAAGACTTTTTTAAAGATAAACAAACAGTTTCCTCTTTTCTGTTTTTTTATTTTGCAGCATTTAGAAGAGAGAGACAGAAAAACAAAACTTGGAAGATATGTGCATACATGAAGACCAAAATTCCACTGTGTTTTACTTTTGTTCTTTATCAGTAACAGATTGCTTTTCCCCCTGAATCATGTTTATAATCTATTACTCTCAGCTTTTTAAAGCATCACACCTGCATCCTTAACACCTGGTTTAGTGCTTTAACCTTAGGAAGCTTCATCTGAAAGATTTACTGGGAATAGTAATTCAGCATTAAGAATGGAGAAAGGGCAGGAACAAAAGCCAGAGAGTGAGGCTGACTTCTGAAGTGTCCCATCAGCTCTGGCACTTAGCCATACAATCTCAGTGCCTCTGTTTTATTATCTGTAAGATAAATAAGTAAAGTAATTTTAAAGCCTTTTGTAATGCCAGGGTGGGGTATGGCTCAGTGGTAGAGTACTTGCCTAACACTAGGCCCTAGGTGTAGGCCCCAGCACTGGCTGGGGGCTGGGGGAATGTGTGTGTGTATAGTATACATATATACATACACTGAATATATTAAGTGTGTGTGTAATATACATATATAAATATAAGTAAAATTCCAGATTCTACATATTTATGTGGAAATCCAAAAAAAAAAAAAAATCTCTATTTAAGGGTAGTAAACCTGATTACATGAGGAAATCATTTTAAAGTAATTTAATTTAAAATATCAAATTTCTAACCAAATAGTAAGGGGGTGGAGTAATAAAGAGCATTGCACAAAGTAATTGTCTTGGGTGCTGGTCTGAGAGTCTTAAGATACTTAAGTTTATTGTCTACTTAATGTTAGTAAAACCTTACTTATTTCCATTTTAAACAATTCAGTAACAAGAGTGGAATTGCATCTTAAATCACTTCACTCATGTTAAAGGTTCTCAGAGTGTCTTACCAAGGTGTTTGTGCTTTGATGGGTAAGAAAATGATTATGTTTAACAATGAAGCAATTTCCTGCTAGTTACTTAACTTGTTGGAAGAGCTTATGGCCAATTATAGGCCCTTTTACTCCTCCCCCATACCTTCTCTTCCCCTCCCCGACTCCCAGAACTGGGGAATGAGCCAAGGGTGCTCTGTCACTGAGCTGCATCTCCTGTCCTTTATTTCAGACAGAGTCTCAGTTAAGTTTTTCAGTCTGGCCTTCAATCTATGATTCTCCTACCTTACCTCCTGAGTCACTGGGATTACAGGCTTGTGCCACTGTGGCTGGCTTCTTTCTCCTTCTCTAGGTTACTTGCTGTTTGACAGTCTTTGGCTCCCATTTTAAACCAGTGGAGCAGTAACCTCAGCACATGGGGCAGAACACAGGGTTTTTCACAGTTGGTTTTAGAACCCCATGGTTCCTCACATATTATCATGCTCTGAGCTTGGAAAGGGGCAGGAACCTCAGGGATTCATGTCCATCTGGAAAAAAAGTTCTAGTTACTAGTTTAGAATGTGGTCCTTAAATTAAGTGTTCATTAATGTTCTTTCCAGACGTAATAGAAATTATCACAAGTGCCCAACCCAAATTTGCCAGTATTCCATACCAGCCAGTGTAATTCCTCTTCAAATTGATAATCTCTAAATCTTTGTTCATTGTGTTTACTTAGTGGTGTTGAAAAGAATGTAAATTCTCAAAATGTCATTTTTTGCTGGTCATGAGAGTCATTGTTGGGCTGGGATTGTGGCTCAGTGGTGAGGTGCTTGCCTAGCATGTGTGAGGCTTAGGGTTTGATTCTCAGCACCGCATATACATAAATAAATATCCATTGACAACTAAAAAAAATATTTTTAAAAAAGAATTTTTTTGAAAGAATTTGGCAAAGTATTTTTCTGTAGTGCTTAGTATCTCCTCAGTTTAGATGATTTTTCCCAAACTATACAACTTTTTGGAAAGCACACTAAGAACTTTTAAATTTAGATATTATGAAATACAGTTTCAATTAAATATTACTACCTTGATTGAAGAATTTTAGCTGACTTCTGATTTTCATCATGGAAATACTTAAGAATGTGTGCAGTAAAGGGGAGACAGGTTTATGGTTTGCTAGTTGTGTTAACAATTACATGTGAAAATCTGAAATAGCTGGCATCAGGGTTTCAGTCTAGTTTCATATCATTAGTTTCCCTTTGGGGCTGGCACCTTAAATCCAAGTTGAATTATGAACCAAGACTATGATCTTCTCATAGTCTTTAAACATCTGTATACTCAGCCTAGGAAGCATTCTATGAATAAAGAGATGGTCTCAAAGATGTGTCCTTATGGGTAAGTTGAGGAAGAAGGAAAATGCCAAGGATCAGCATGAACTCATTAATACTCCTTACTGTGAGCTAGGCACTGTTCTAAGAACTTTACATATCCTACTATATTTGATCCTCTTAAAAACACCATATTGAAGAAACTGAGGCATAGAAAAGTAGAGTAACTTACTAAGGTCACTCACCTATTAAAGAATGTAGGAATTGTCAAACAAAGACTGTGTCCCAAAAAGGACCACATGTAAGAGTGGAAGGTAAATCCATCCCAAACAAATGTATAAACTCAACATAGGAATATAAGAAATATGAAAAAAAGGTAACATGACACTTCCTAAATATCATAATTCATCAATAGCTGACTCCAAAGACTTTGGATGAAGAATAAAAAAAAAAAAAGCATTGTAGAAATGGTCTGTGAATTCCAAGAGAACACAGAAAAACAACTGAATAAATTCAAGAAGTCAGTACAGGATATGAAATAAGAAATTCAATAAGGAGATAGAAATATTGACAAAGAACTAAACAGAAATCTCAGAAATGAAAGACACAATACATCAAATAAAATGTTCAGTTTAAAGTCTCTGTTACAGAGTACACTAAGGTAAAGGCAGAATCTCAGAGCTATAATGAAGTGGCCAGCCTTGAAAATTCAGGTAATAATAAAAGAAAATAAGTAACCATGACCAGAATATAAAGGAACTCTGGGACAACATTAAGAAGCCAAATTTTAGCCAGGCATGGAGGCACATACCTGTAATTCCAGTGGTTCTGGAGGTTGAGGCAGGAGGATTGGGGGTTCAAAGCCAGTCAGCAATTTAGCAAGACCCTAAGTAACTTATCAAGACCCTGTCTCTAAAATATAAAAAGGACTGGGGGTGTGGCTCAGTAGTTAAGTGACCCTGGGTTCAATCCCCAGTACCAAAAACAAAAACTAAAAACAAATTTTAAGAATTATAAGAATGGAAGAGAGAATTGTGAGCTGCAGGTTGATGGCATGGATAACCTCTTCAGGACAATAAGAACATTTTTAAATCTTCAAGAGAAAAACATGGGCTGGGGTTGTGGCTCAGTGGCAGAGCGCTTACCTTGCACATGTGAGGCACTGCTTTTGATCCTCAGCACCACATAAAAATGAATAAACAAGATACTGCATCCATCTATAACTAAAAAATATTTTTTAAAAAAGAAAAACATCAGTTTGCATTTAGAGGCAAGCCAATCAGAATTAGTTTTGATTTCTCAATACAAACTCTAAAAATCAAGGAGAACATGGAATGATGTATTCTAGGCCCTGAAAGATAAGTATACCCAGCAAAGCTATCATTCAGATCAAAGTCAAAATAAAAACCTTCCCAGATTAAGCAGAAACTAAAATAGTTCATGACTACTAAGCCAATTACAGAAAACACTTAAATATTACACACAGAAGAAATTAAAAAATCAAACCAAGAGTTCACAAATTGACAAATCTCACGTGAAAAAAAATAAGCAAATGAGATACAAGACCAAATTAAACATTATAAATAAATCAAAATGGCAAAGCATAATAAACATCTCCCTATAACAACAATGAATGTAAATGGTCTCAACTCTCCAATTAAAAGATATGGGCTGGCAGAATGGATTAGAAAGCAAGATTTAACTATATGTTGTTTGTAGGAGACTCATCTCACAGGCAAAGACAGCCATAGGCTAAAGGTGAATTGATATACAATGCAAATAGAGCCTGAGAACAAGCAGGAGCAGCTACTCTCATATCCAACAAAGAAAACTTCAAGCCACAATTAATCAGAAAAGATAAAGATGGTCACTTAGTATGGTAAAGGAAACAATCCAATAAGAAGATAAAATAATAATAAATATTTATTCCCTAATATTTGGTGTACCTAAGTGTATAAACAGATACTACTCAAACACTCACATAGACTCCAGTCCAATGATACTGGGTGATTTCAAAACACCTCTCTCACCAATAGGTCATCCAGACATAAACTCAGTCAAGACTCTTCACAGACCTAAAAAATATTATAAATCAAATGGAATTAACAGACATCTATAGAATATTTCACCCAACAATAGCTGAATTCACTTTCTTCTCAGGTATTCATGGAAACTTCTTTAAACTAGACCACATTTTTAAGCCACAAAGCAACTCAGCAACTACAAAAAAAATGACATAATTCCTTGTATCTTATCATAATGGAACAAAATTAGAAATCAATGCCCAAAAAAAACCTGCAGAAACTATGAACATATGAAGATTGACTAACACACTTTTGAATGATGAATGGGTTATAGAAGAAGTCGGGAGAAATTTTAAAAATTCTTAGAATCAAAGGAGACTAGAGATACAATATACTGTAACTTCTGAGACACTACGAATGCATTTCTAAGAGGAAAGTTTATAGCTATGAGTGCTTACATAAGAAAATCAGCAAGATTCCAAATAATCAACCTAATGATACATCTAAGGCCCTTGAAAAACAAGAACAAACCAATTCCAAAACCAGTAGAAGGAAAGAAATAATTAAGATTGGAGCCAAAATCATTGGAATAGAGAATAAAAAACAATACAAGGAATAATGAAATGAAGATTTGGTTTGATGAAAAGACAAAGAAGATTGATAAACTTTAGCCAAATTAACCAAAAGAAAAAGAAGACCCAAAT